GCAAACTGTAGCGGATTGCAAATAAGGCGCCCAGCAGGGTGGGCAGCGATTGTTGCGCGGGCATCTTCGTTGCAATCAGTGAGTCACTGAAACACACATAACGGAGTATTCCGATTTCGGTGTACTGTTTGTTGCCTTTTCCCATGGAAAGCTATCGAACTTCGAATTACCCGAGTGAGGACTCTTCTTTGTGCCGTCAGTTCATTAGGTCTGACATAATATCACATTGATAATATCACACTGATATGTATGTTGCCGTTATCATTCCCGACTCACTCCTTTGCATCTTTCAAATCAACGCCCACACATAAAATGGAGGTACTTAGACAAGAACGTTTGCTTCTTAATTTTTCTTTCTAATTTTTGCATAAACTGTTTTATGACTCAGTCAGTGTCAGTTACCCATCTCTTATTTAAGACAATGTCGCCGCGTTCATTTATATATGTGTCTATGACCAAATTTTTCTTGAAATAGCATAATTTGCTGAAAGCCGTGAAGTTAACCTAATTAGAAGGAAACAACAATGCGACTCGATGGCACAGCGTGCATTATGTCAACAAATGTTATCTCTAACAAAGGTGTCATCTCATCATTGGATCTAACACAGGTGCGAATGAACATCTGAATGCAATGTGTCAGCATGTCGACATGCAGCGCGCAGTACTATTCGTGTACTTGTGCTCCCGAAAGACTGACATGCAGCGACATTTCCAAATATTATCTTGCTTTCCCTTCCCTTTACTCTTTACCCCTTGCTGAAGAGACATTTAAACTTGACGCAAATTATACGAATAGTCATCAAGTGAAGGCCAATACGACTTCCTTAATTACGAAGAGGTATTATAAACATTGAGAAATTCAATAAGCCAGTCATCACTAAGGTTGAACTTATTTTTGATGCACATATTATTAAATAAAAGTCATTTCCAAAACAAAAAAAAAATTTGAAATGATTGAATAATTTTAACAAACTATCATTCTGTAACTTTATCAATGTGGCACTTCTGTTTTATCTTACCATCAGATAACATTTCAGACTGTCAACTGAGGTTTTGGTATTATTACAGTTCACAACAAACACTACCTCATATAAATGTCATCTAAACACTATTGCATTGTTCATTTATTAATCACTGAATGCATTTCTTAATGATTTTAGAAAACATTATTACAAGTTACCATCATTTTATCATCGCTTATTTTGTAGGTAAGTTATTTGTCACAGAGCCAAAAGAACTTACAATTTTGTGAAATCCTCCAAAAGCACAAACGTCACAGACACACTTGTCATCCTCCCAGCTTGCAATTATTCTTTCTCTCTCTTTCTCCTTGCAGCCCACACATTCAACGCTTTGCGCACTCACTCACTGCTAATTGTACCTTATCACTGTTTCGCTCCTCTCTCTACGAGGTAATTGCTCTCTCTCCCTTCATCTGTCGATGAATGTACTTTTATCAATTAAACTGATTTCTCTGTAATTCTCTTAGACTTTCTTGATCAGAAGAGTTGACAGAAGAGTTCATGACTAACTTTGTAGATACTAATCTTGGCATTTTCTAAATAATTTAAGACAGGTAAACTTCTTAGATGAGTACACATTGGCTCTGAGGCAGAAGTATTTCTATTTAGAAGAGTTTTCGCAAGAATTTTACCAGTTTAATAAAACCGAATTATATGCAAAAATAAAATTAAAGCCACAGAACTAAGGAAAGTATTGTTTGAGTGTTCTTTGGACAAATGTTCCAATGTTATGTAAGAAATTTGATATTCATCTTTCTTGTAACTGAGCTTATTTTCATTGTTTGTTAGCAAAGAATACGTGTTGATTAGATTGTTTACAGTTATCAGTGTACCCCTTTTGTTGTTTGTCGATTCCTTGATAACTATAAATTACATTAGAATTTCAAGGGTTAACAGCTGACCTTCTCTGCGATATTGTAAATGATGCGTCTTAATGCTTACTATATAACCTTTACTGAGGTTAGGTTTTCTGGGTGGCAATGTGGACATTCATGCTTTCCCACAGTACTTGCTGAAACTTTCTAATATTGTTTAATAACTACGATCAACAGTAATCTTTTCAAGTCAGATTCTATTTCACGATATTATGCAGCGATTAAGGATGGTTAATCATTTATATCAAAAGAAAAAAATAAATCTGAATGACGTAGTTCCTTCCATAGTTACATACCAAAAGCTAAAAGTGATTTGATTTTAAAACAACAACAAAATCGTTTGATGTCTTCGAGCGCAGATGTCTTCGAGATTTTAGTAACAAATGCAATCATTTCTAGACTGAAAAATGTGATAAAAGAGCAGCTGAAGAGATCGGGAAAGCATGCATGAAGCGTCTTTGGAGGCAACGAGTGGCGGTGCTGGAACTCAATGTACAAGAGAATAAGTAAAGTGGTTAGGGCAGAATGATAAATGGAATGGAACAGAGAGAGGGAAATTGATCGGAATAGATTGCATGCAGTGAGATAACTAACTACCCTACCCATCGCATTTGCGCCCTTGCAACAGCTTGGGCAGAAAGGCCATTGTGAGAGGAGTGCTGGAGTCCAGTCGCTACCCGGGAACTACTACAGCCAACAGTACTCTGTAATTGGTATCTGTCAGTGACAATTTTGTCAAAGCTCACTTGTGCACTTTTCCATAATGTTCAAACAATTAGGTCTATGAATTTAATATAATTTTATTTCCATAAGCCATTTGCTGATGCTTCATCCCCACTAAAGCAGTAAGAAGAAATGTTGTCAGTACCATTACCACTAGCGCTCTCCTAAAAAACCTTTTGGTTTTGACGATGCTAATTTTATTTTCTCTATTGAATCATGTCATCAAACAGTTAAAAGTGTGGAGATATGACTTGAGACAACGCCAATTTGTTCATTGTATCGTGTAAGCTAGGGTATACTGCTATAGTCAGTACTTCAGGTTTGTTACAGTGATCCAATTAATATGAGTATTTAATATTTTGTAGTATTCACTCCTTTTTTCTTTTGGCGGAATTTGGACATTATATTTCCAAAGTTTGTTAATGTGTCATTAAGCGTTACTGTCACCATTATCGCTTTTAAACAAATGGTTCATTGGTCATCGACAGCTACTACATCCTAAGTCTAAGTCTAAGTTTGAATGTAAGTGTTATACTAATCCTTTTCCATATGATATGATTCGTTTTGACGGCAATTTTGATAAATGCTGATTTTGTCGCTTTCTGCGTTAGACGTAAAACATTAACTTTCCATATATAGAAAAGTAATATTGTTCTTGTGAAGATCTTAAATCTCAACTGTTGTTTTACAAAATTTTTTCACGACATATGGCCTGAGGTATCCGCATGTGAGGCATTTACTTGAATATTATTCATTACCTGAGCATTATTCAACAACCAAATACTGTTTATTCTCCTTCTAAATATATTGGTTGCTTTTTTGCCGAATTTCGAGTCCAATGGAAGGGACAATTGCGCCATTTTTTGTTGCTATGTACATCTTGCAGATCATAGTCAAGATTAAAAATAATTACGCGGCAAATTTGTTTAGCAAAGAACTAAAAAACATAATTGTGTTCGGATTTCTGTTTCCCTATGTCATACTAAGTGAATATTCGAGAAAAGAAAAGTTTGTTCTACATGTTAAACTTGTTTTCTTATGATACAAATTTTTACTTATTGAATTTAAGTCAGGTTCAATCACAGCCCTCGTACTGCAGGGTGGTTCATACGTAATGATGACTCATGGTGGGATATCTGTCCACAACCGGGCACTTTGCATTCATGGGTGAAGGGTTGACCTTGTGCCTCCTTATCAATTTATATATTCGTCGTAACTTTTTGTGATCATAGCACATCCATGATGCAAGCATTCATATCTTTGTTCGTCACAATAACTCTTATCGTACCTTTTTAATTATTAATTATTAATCTACTTGGTAGTTAATTAATGTGAGAAATAATCGTCAAAGTATCGGTGCATTTCATTTGCGAATCCTCCAGATTATCCGACCTTTCACAGCGTTAACTCTGAATATCACACTGATTCCCGACTATCCTCTCTCTCTGTTTACTTCATTACTTCCTGTGAGGATGCTATTGTTGTTATCACTCCCACGCATACCAAAAATGATTTAATATTTCCTTTTATTAAACTGTGAAATTATTTTAATATAGACCTTAATTTTAGATTAGAAATTCTGACAAAGATGATGAAGTCTGTCCAAAACTAAACTTGGCCAGTAGTAGCAAATAACGGTTGATCATAAACAAAAATGAATGATGATGGTCTTCACTCTTCGTTGTATAGGAAGTTTGTTCGTAATTTGTCGCTGTGACGATGTTTTGTGAGGATTGGAAAATTTGTTTAAAATTAAATTTTATTGGACATATGGAATTTGTTTTAAAAAAATCATGGATGCCAAAAAGATATTTACTTCTTTGGCACAAAAGAGATTTGTCACATCGTTTAGTGAACACGAACAATCCTTCCATGATACACAGGTACTATCTTCCCCTACTTTTTTTTTTTGAACGATAGATATACTCTGCAGAAATGATTTCTTTTTTTTTTTCTGTAAATAGAAATATTTGAAATGAATTATTCTGGACGAAGAAAGTGGAAAAGTAGTATCTATGTACCATGAAAGTTTAGCAGCAGTTAAAGAGAAGCACATGCTGTTATTAAGAATAGAAGAAATGAACATGATTGTTTTTAAGCTAATTGTAATCAGAAAAGACAAAAAGATTAATTATATGTTTCATTAATTCTTTATAGTAATATTCATATATGACTATAACTTATTTCTCTATAGCCTTTCTTATGCAATTATTATTCTTTGGCAAGGATTGCTTTATATTATTATTATTTACTACTTCCAATGCAAAAAACAACAAATTGATTACTTTTAGAATTTTGTTTTACAATGCACGGTTATACTTCAAACAAACAAACAACATATAAAATGACAATCAAAATAGGTAATAGCAATATTTGAGAGTTATGCCGATGCAAAACCAATCGTACCACAGGCTAATGGTAGAATATCTTTATCACGTAGTGACCACTCTATTACTGATAATTTATGAATCACCAATGAATGACCAATCAGTGAGATATCTTGTGGCCAGTCGATTTCTCGATCTAAATTTGAAACATTTCCTCTATTCATCACTCAATTAAGTATGAATGAGGTCCACATAAGATAGGCCTAAACGTGCTGAGAAGAAAATCATTCCGATGAAACGTCCACAACAGGAAACTGACTAAGCACAGGAGACTGCTCAGAGCCTTTCAAGGTGTATCAAATTACGGGACTCTAAATCTGTTTCACTCAGTACATCATCTATGGGACTTTCCGTAACTAGTTTCTTAACTGAAAGATAAGCGAATTTCAATCAGAATTGAATTTTAAATAGGGTGGATTATGTTATTATTCTGGAACACATGCTAGTAAATAGTCCATCTACTGCATTGGCCAAGGTGAATCTTTTATGTCGTCATGTATCTTTTTTTAGTTTGAAAATCAAGCAAGTTTCATTAATTAACTTATTTTTTCAATAAATTTAAATCAAAACCATAAATTTTTAACATATGAATCTAACAAACAAATAATAGAAATGTTTTAATAGATGGAGTAGCTTTTAAATTTGAAAGATAGAGATCAGCATTGCTTTGTACTGCTAACAGTTGAAAATGATTTGTTATTTACGTAACTAACCGATTGTTACATCTGCAGTACCATTTGCTTTAACATTTCCAAATATAGCAGATACATTAAACTTTTTATCAGATGCCATAATCGGACCAATGTTAGCGCATGAATTGGACAAATCACCAGCTTGATGTATAATGATTGCATGTTCGCCATCCGGTAATCCTGAATTCATCCTTTTTTTAATAGCTCTTTGCTTATTGTCTACTTATTTATCTTCTCGCTTATTGAATTTTTATAGTTGCAAAGAAATATTATTCATTTCGAAATTATTATGATTGTAACATTCATAATTGTAGTTTAAAGCGATCATAATCACATTGTCAATAAGTAATTATCAGTCATCATTCGTGCTTTAGGTTATCACTTGATAAATTGAAATGCTACCACTGATCGATGGTGCAAAATGTTGCTTCTCATGCAAAAGGAAGTAAATTTACTTAGAGAACAAAAGAAATAGCAGAAGAAAAAGAAAAGGAAGAAGATGTTTAACGTACATTTAAGGAAACAAAACCCAAAATTGGTTCATTTGACGACAAATAAATGCAAAAGGTGCTTAGTGCTTCATAACGACAAAAAGTCTCGGTTTAAATTCTTTCGTTTTCTTCTTTTTTTTCACCCATTTCCACCCTTTCTTTCTATCTGGAATTCAAAGAAAAAAAAATTTATTTTTTTTAAAAAACAGTTAATAGCAAAATAAGAGCTTTTTGTCGCAATTAGTTCGTGTTACTTGCAAATATAAGTGTAAAACTGATGAATTAAAAAACTGCGATGATTTCAAAGATTTCCATGATTTTAAACTATAAGCGGTCTCAGATATTTCTTAAGTGAAAGAAAAGACTTTCAAACTCGAGAAAAAACTGATATATCACATTTGCGACTTTAAGACGTCACGATGAACGATATTATTAGTAACATAATTGATCTACCTATTTGTCTCGTACGATCACGTAATTACTAATAATATAATTGATCTGTCAACTCTGATCACGACACTATAATGTGATTGATGCATTTGGCACGATCACGATATCACTAGTAACATAATTGATCTACCCATCCACTTTACATTTACTCGTTCACTGTCTTCGATGAAGAAAAGCATGAGCGGCTGCTTTCATCTATGATATCTACTTAACCATCTTCAAAATTCCTCAATCCAACAAAGACACTAAGACAAGGTATCATCTACTACATCATTTGTCATATAATAATATCTGCGACAAACTTCAATAAGCGTTGTTTTCCTTAGCCGTAAAAAATCTATGAAATTTTCGTTTTTCTTTTTTATTGTAATGAAAACCAATGTTAGCACAAAATAAGAACAAAAAGAGAATCAACCATTTAATCGGAATATGCATGGCTTATCATAACTGATCTGTTATCAGTGGTCATTTCTAAGCACTATGAAAATCTGATTCGAATAAAAAAAAATTAGTTCAAAACAAAATGAGTGGAAATGACAAAGGTGCTAAAAACTTAAACTGAAATAAGTTTGAGTGCAAGCAAAAGTACTAATAGCTATTATTTGAGTTGATGGCATTAAATGCTAATAAAATTTGGTCTAGCAATAACCAGTAGTGCTTGCTAGTATTAACTTATATATCTTTCGCGTTGTAAACTGAATTCTACTTTTCTTTCATCAACTAGAATTTATGACAGAGTATTTGGATTAAAATACTATTTATCTCCAATATCTATCTTTTAATATTTATCTCCATTTTATTTTTAATCTCATAATTCATTTTTTTTTCTCCGCTATTTAAACCCTATTATCTCTTTAATCTCCATTATTTAATGTATAAATCGAACGAAGACAGAGATTTCTTTAAGGAGTCAAAATAAAACCAAAAAAAAAAGATATCTCCAAAATTATAATTTTTTTTCTTTTTAAATGAACTATATAGCATCAACTTTCAAGCATTCATCTTCAAATTAAAATTAGATTTGAGAAGAAAGAAAATAAAATTTAATTCTTTCTTGCTTCCTTGCTTCTCCTTCATTCTCTCTTTCTCCAATTATCAAATCAAAAGCTTTTAATTTTTGATTAAAAAAATATTTATCTACCCGACCATTCTACATTTGTTAACACTGAGTAGACATTCACCTTCAATTGTACCTTCCAGTTTAATTCTTCCTTTGTTAATCTGTTTAATTTTCACATCACCAATAATTTTATTCCCATCGCTTAACATCTTCGCACTTGCTATTTCTTTATACAGATTATACGGTTTGGTTGTACGTTCTATGTTTTCAGCAGTATTGTAATACTTTCCTGAAACACTCCTCAGTATTACGAAAAAAAAGGGACGAATTCTACATTTCCTCACCTTCAAAAAAGTTAAATCTGCAAGCTGTACAGTTTAAAATTTCAAATCATGAAATTAGGATTACAGTTTTGGGAGAAAAATTGTTATCTCTATGTTTGGTTTTAATCGATTGATTGCAATATAGTATAATTATGAAAGAAAGAAGAAAACAATTATTCCTTTTCTCGTTTTTTAAAAAAGTTAAATCTGTGTGGTTGAATATTTTAAACGGAAAATGGTTTACGTCATGAAATTAAGATTACATACAGTTTAAATACAGTTTTTTTTTTCTTTTTATTTAAAAAATAAGTTCAAAAAATACAAATGAGCAGTTACCTTGCTGTAAACATTGTGTTCGCAGTACACATGGCGCCATTACATGATTACGTGCTTTCACGTAACCAGATGCGCAGTGACAACCAGGATTACATGTCGATGAACAGACCGGCGTTGCAAGTTGTCCACAATATTCTGGACATAAAATGCCACACGAATCCCAGTACGCATGTGGATCAATACACGTGCAACGTGATCGCTTTGAACTGATCATTGCGAATAGATTTGAACGACAACAACGCTAAAAGATATATTTTTCCTTTTTTCCTTGTAAATCTTAGCAATTTTAATTTTCCATTGTCATCATCAAACTCCAATTTGTCACATTTAGAGTATTTAACAAATGTGAAGTATTTAAATAAATTCCAAATATATAGGACACAAAAATGTTTAACTTACATGATAACTTCTTAAACAAAAATGCTGATGATTTTGTTCAATAAAATATTTTTGATTTTGTTCAATAAAATACACTAATTAATTACAAACTTTAAGAGAGTATTTCACACTGTGGCTAATTAAATACCTGTTGTATTGGACAATCAGAATCAAAATTACAAAATTTTCCACTTAGATCAACTGTTGTCTCAGGACATTCTGCCATAGCCATATTAGCTATAAAAAACAGAAAATTAAATATATTTTCATATTCTATAGAAACTAAGGACTTAAATTAGCTCTGGAATGAGAAATAATTTGCAGGATATACCTAACTTATTGTTCTCGGAATTAAATATTCCTGATATCGCAGAAATGTTACCCACTGGGCACTGATTCAATGGTATGCATTCAGAAGTGCGCCAATTTATAGCATCTTCAAATACAAATCCTAAAATTAGATATTTATGGGAGTTGACCATTTTTCTAGTTAAATAGACTCGGAGTTAGCATCGCGACAAAGATGAAACACGAGCCTGATTTGCAGAAGCAACCGGACACACACGGTGAACACGTCTGCGGTACTCGATTGTTGCAACCAATGGGGCATGATGAAGCACAAGCTTGATACTCTTTCAGTGGATCCGAACACTGTGAACCGCATTCACTGGGAAGTACGCAACGTGAATTAGGGTTACGCGAATCGAGCAATACGTATGGTTCACGACAAATACAACCAGGTGTACACTCACTTGATTTGCACGACGTTTCTAGATTCGAACAACTACGTGTGCATCTGCGTAGAAATAATATAATGTTAATCTTATCGGGAAGGTGATCTAATCAATGATTAATCAATTATCAATTATTAAATATTATACCCTCATCTTTTTCTGAATTCTTAACTTGATGCTGTTTATATGCATACGTAATTAGCGACACAAATTAGTGAGTGGTTGACAATTAAGCAGATGACGAATAGTTAAAGTGAATATGTAAATGAACAAAAAATGCGAAAGAAGTAAATTAGCTGAACTTACTGAGAAGAAAAGCAATGTGTCCACTGTTTCCGTGGATCAGAGCAAATTTGCTGTTGAACTGTTAGTGAGTGACATTGATGAGGCAGTATACAAGGAGAATTCAAGTTGTAAGCATCTTGCAAAATGTATGGATTACGACAGAAACATCCGGCAACACACTGCGTACCACAGAAACCGGCTACTTTGTTATTGCAACCAGCTATAGAGAGTTGCAAATAAGGGCGAAGTGTAAAGGGAAAACCAGTGGGAACGATTTTTCTTTTATCACAAAATCCATTTGTTTACTTCCTTTTTAGTTTTGACGTTTTTTCCTTCGAAATCATAGTGTATCTTATGTTGATTGCACGTAAGGTTACGCAAATTACGTAAAAGATAGGGAAAAGTTTGGTGACCTGGACAGCCAGAACCACAAATGTGGAAATTCTTAAATGGGTCACTGCAGTGCATCGCTGTTGGTGGAGCGATCGAATCTTCGCGACCTTCGAGAAATAAGCGCGAATTAGAGGTCACAGGAGACGTTGAATTAAAGTGAACGACGGTAGCATTCAGTGGAGGAGAATAGTCTCGCACTAACAGAGGACAATATGCCGGTAAAATGCACCTGAACTTAAGATATTTTCATTTCATTCGACTCTAATTGAGTGAAATGATTTCAAATTAGATGGAAAGTAATTGTAAATAATGTAATCATTAGAAATATTAGCTAATCAGTATGTATGACAAAGATGAAAAATTTTTATTGCAATCGAAATCATTCATAAATTTCTCCTATTCTTGTTATTTGTTTTGTTTGAAGTTATAAATCAAAGATTACGAGTCAAACTGTCACAGAAATTAGCGAAGATGATTAATTTGAATGTTAGGCGTTGAAAAGTTTCTTCATCTTTCATCATCATTATGATTTATAATTTGAAACTGAGAAGCCCACCTGGAATGAATTGGATCTGCACCATTCTCAAGAATATACGGTATTTTACAAAAACATCCTTCCACACATCCTTCAACTTTACATTTCTCACTTCGAGAAGAACAAGAAATTGGGCATCCTGGGCCACAAATTTCGTACTCACGTAAGGGATCAGCACAACGTGTTTTACTTTCCATAATCGATTGAGGAGGACATTCGTCCTGTGGAATGCATGGAGCATGAAGGTCATTTTTTTGACGAATGAAACCTAAAAAGGATAATTCTTTCGATTGGTTTATTTTATTTTCGAGGCTTACATAGCCATTTTAATTGAACTATAACCCTTCCTTCTTTAGTCATCAATCATTAATTATCAATGATCTTTTGATGATTTTGTTGTTATTATCTATTGATTAAAATTCCCGCTTGTATGTTCATCAAATTATTGCTCCAGATAAGGACGGCAAAATGATATATGTCTCATGTTGACATACAATTTCATTCTTTCACAAAAATAATTCGGATTAAAGTATAAAGAAGAAACAAAAACTGGAAACCTGATTTGCACTGGCATCCACTTTTGCATCGTTCAATAAAACATGGAATTGTTGTTTTTGTGAAGCAAGTTGCTTTGCACTCATCAAGACATTCCACAAATTGCTCATTCTTGGCACATATTGTTGTTGTTGTTGTTGAATTCGTTAATGGGAAGTGTGATATCACTGGGAATTTATCTGTAAAATGATAATGACTGGTAAGTGATTTCATTCTTGTTTTTTTTTTTTCCTTTTTCACTTTTAGAAACTCTTGCTAAAACTTTATGTGTAAAAGTTTATTTAATCCACTTAAAAATTATTAATAAGTAAATAAAAATGACATTTCTTTTTGAAAAATGCAAAGTTAAAAAGAAAGATATCATTACCAGTAGAAAGATATCATTACCAGTATTAATATTTGAGGAACAAGCTAATCCACTGGTTAGAACCGGACAACATTTCTGTAAAGCTGGACAGTCATCGTCACAGTGGCAAAGTTTGGACGCATCAGTAAGTGATACTGGTTGATCGGAACAGTGTCCAGGTTTCATCCATAAGCATTTATCACTGACTGTGCCATTTATACTACGAAGTTGTTGCTTTAGCTCTGAACTTTGTCCTTTCACTATTATATCAATCGAATGACTTTTTTCTTTTGAACTTGTCAAACTCCCTTGCTTTCGACGTACGTTAACAGTTTCACGTTTCTCCTCTATAATACGCTTCACTGTTAGTCGCAGCGTTTCACATGCTGCATTTAAGTTTGTCGTTTTAGGTTTTAGCGACCCAATAATCCGGCCAAATCGTGAAACACACCAACATTCCTCAGTTCCGGTACGACACTGCACCGCTCGATAGTGTTTTCCAGCAGGGTCACATTGCGGAATGTGCACACCGACAACGTTGTTAGTCGGCAAATCGTTCAGTACTCGACGGCGGTGTTGTGAGCATACTATAAGAAGAGGAAATGTCTCCTTTATCAGCGCTCTGAACAGACTACTGCAAAACGTAGAGAATTTCGGATTTTCTAAACAACAAACTTAACTCTGGCATTGTTCTCAGGTAACAGAAACATGGCTAATCAGTAGCAACCTGAACAACATTTTCCAGTTGCACAAATTTCATTAGTAAGTGTGCAATCTGAATCATTACTGCATTGTCGACTCCATGGACTACCATCTGGACACATTCCTGACTTTTCCGATTCATATTTGTAAGCCGGAACACCAATAAATTCTGTAAGTAATGCTTTATATTCAAAATACAGACTCAATACGATCCGGTCGGAATTTATTTTTACTTTTCTATTTCCTCCCATTAAAGGTTGTTCAGTTTTAACTTCATTTTCAAACCATTTAAAATTTCAGAATACAAAACTTAATTATACCTAAATCAGAAAAACTGAAAAGCATATGTGCTTTCAAATGGACACATACCAAAATTATCACTGAACAAAGATGACACTGTCCTACTCAGTTCCGTTGCAGGACAGCAGAAACCTTGTCCGGTACAAATTTCATCAGCCAGGCAATCATGTGACGCGTTGCATTTATAATATGAGAAGCGATCGTCACCACAATTCATGCATGTTTCTTGTGCCTCACAGATTCCTGAAATTTTGTTGGCTGTGAAATAGCCAACAGAGATGTCAGCCAAGCTTAGAAATTCAATCCTAATTTTTTTCTCGAATTACTCAATAATTGTTTAAGTCTGTCAATGTTCGTTTGTTCATTGTCATAATATTATCCCACCGATGCTATCATTAAGCTGCTTGTCATTTGAAAGCATAAATTATCAATATGTTATTTTTATAGTCTAAGAATTTGTAAAATTATAAAAGTTAACTTTGAATCAAAGTGCAAAAAAAATTTCTTACTTCGAAATCTTTGTGTTTTTATTGAGTTTGCAAATAGAATGACAAGAAATGATAGTATTTTTGCGCAGTTCGTCATGGCAGTAACGCGACAATAGCACTCAAAATCAAATAATTTGTGATTGTTATGTGAAATGTCTGCAAAAGTAATTTAAAAATTTGTTAAAAGTGAAATGGAAAAAGAGATAATAGGGACGTCGATGAGTGAGTGAGGAAATGAAATTTATAAGGAGGAGGGGAAAGAGGAGGGGAGGAGGGGGAAAAGGAAAAAGTAAGGGAAGAGAATGAGCAATTGCAAAGATGTGGTTCTTATGAATGAAAGGAAAATCATTTCTTCAGTAATTTGTCCGAAAAAAAATTTTTTTTTTGTTTCTTCCATTTCTGTCCCTTTTTTTGTGCATAATTATCAATAAGCAATTGAAAGATATTTAATTACTGAGAGAGTTATCAAATAGATAATAAATTATTTACATTCAAAATTTCAAGATTCTGTTATTTCGGAGTTGCTTTTTTCATTTGTTTAGTGAACCAAAGAAAATTTGGAACAATGAACATAAATGTTATCGAAAAAAGCAATCAAAGCTTTGAATTTGTAAAGATAATATAAAGTGTTTTTCTTTTAATTACTAAGCTTATAAAACAATAGTTGCATGCATATCATTGACACAATTCAAATTTAATTCTAGATATGATAAAATTGTAACTTTTTCCAGATCAAATATTTAAGGTTAAAATTCAAATCATAATTACAAATCATAAAAAGAATAAATGACATTCTCCAACGTTAAATTAATCAATCATCAATGAAACAACAACATAACTGTGTAATACTTAATTGCATTCATAAATATCCACTGATCAATAGGACGGCGAGAAAGAACAATTGTTTCCCGACTGAAAGACAGGAATGGAAGAGCAGTCTCATTCCCGAGATGGATTGACAATTTGAAAATCGGGTTGAGGTCAGTCTATCAATAATAAAATTCTCGTCGCCACTCTAATCCATTTTCATCTGCCTATTATATCCACTCCGCAATCATTCAATTTTATTGTAGTAAAATTTATTATAACTGCAAGTATGCAACAAATTTCGGCCTAAATTATTCTATCGCATAAAATTAAAAATCCAAATAGTATTTTAATGAACAGAAAGTCTGTGTACTACAAAAAAAAAGAACTTAATTATAATTTATTAAATATTTCATTGCTGAGAAAATAGATTTTGAAATATTTTTCAAATTGTTTCTATAGAAATAATAATATTTCAGGGATAGAATCATTACGCTTCACAGAGATTTGCAACTGTAAAATTTTATTGAATTTTCAGTTCATTGCAAATTTAATTTAGTATTTTGTGCTAGTCGCAATAGATAAAGTGAGTGTAAATTTTTTAAGCATAAATTACAGAGATTTGTTGTGGGACTAATTAAATTAAGCAACAAAAACTTCACGCTCGAGACATTAGCGCAAATTATGAGCGCATCCTTTGAGCGATGTGTTTCGTAAAAATCTCGAACTTTTTAATGATTTCGATACAAATAAAGTAGTAAATGAGATAGAATATGAATGTAAAGCAATGCACAAATAACATTATTAGTTGAGCTGATCAACTGATCCACTGAGAGTTATCAACAATTTATCTTTTTCTGACCTTTGACCCTATTATAACCATAATGTAAAGAAAATTGTGTAATAATTGTCGTTACTGAGATGGCTTTCATCCTTTGTCATCATTGCTATCTTAACTTGATAAACATTGTTGAAATATCTTTTTTCAAATAATTATTTCATTTTTAATTCATTCTTCTATATGAAAAAAACTTTTTTCTTCATTTCCTTTTCTTTTTTTGTAATACAAGCAATTTTACTATTTTTGTAAATAATTTATTAGCAATTATTTGGCTGATAATAATTTATGCATGCATATACAGACAAAAAGAGAAAAATTAACAAATAAATTGAAAAATATTCTCAATTTTCAATCAATAAATGATTTGAATGATTCATTAAATTATTTTAACAGCTGCTAAAATAATAGCCAGTTTTGATATGATTAAATGTGAAGTCTTATTATATGTTGTGAGAAAAGATTTTGAAATAACATAATTAAGAATTTGTAAGAAGAAGGAAATAAGCTTGAACTCTTCCAGACAAAAGATATCAAACATCATCCATCCCTATCAGTTCTTATCACTTTCATTATCATCATCGTCATCACTATCATCATCGTCATCGCCATCATCACTATCATCATCATTCTTGTTAATGTTTTTGACTGATTGCACTAATTTCAAAAGCAGTTGCTTAAACAGATCCGTTCATTAAACATTTTCATTCAGTTCACTCTTGCATTTAAATCATTCCTCGTTTGTTCAGAACAACTTGTTTAAATTAGTTTATTATTCTGACTAGTATTGATTGCGGACAATAATTACTGACTTCAAATTTTAATCCATCCGTCTTACATTTCTTTTCCATTTATGAATAGTTTTGGAAATTTAACTTCATTCTTTTTTTCAGAAGCAGTTTTGTGCGTTTTAAACTCGATTTTTCAAAAATTTTTTTCAATTTTAAAAAATGAACGAAGCTAACCAGCAATGTTTTCAATTGCCTTTTTTATGAAATATTTTTTTTGAGTACATAAGATTAAATTTTGTTTAACTTTTAGGGAATATGAATTTACTAATTTAAAAAAAAAATGGGTATATTTGACTTTAACAAGAGAATGTAAAAAGTTGAAGATAATCTGAACTTATAGTAGAAGTGGTTTTGTTTTACTTCATAAAATCCTATCTATAAATTTTTTTGATTAATATGACTTTTTCTTCTCATCTGTACAAAAATTCAAATAAATCAATTATTACTATATGCTTCCAAATGCAACTGTAAAAATAATTACAAATTAACAAAAATTTTGCAGTACATTTGGATTATGGAAGCAGATTAAATTACTGAGTTAGACAAAATTTGAATATTCCCGCAGGAACGAAATTTATTAAATTTTTTAGTTGATTGGTTAAATGAAATCGATTTTAAAAATTTTTTTTCTCTTTTTTATAAAATTTGAAAAACTTCAATCCACCCCAATTTTTGTTCCAGCAATAAGAACAACTGTTTACTTATCTTCAAATAGCCTTCATTTGCTATTTGTCTTGTTGCACCATTGGAAAGAATTAAATTATTATTATTATTCTCATAACATTATAGTAATTAATATACTAAAGCTCAAAAAGATCATATTATTTTAATTTAACAAGACGAGAAATTTTAAATCTTTGTTGAAATTATTGGAAATAATAAATTTTTCAAGCAATTTTTTCCATCAGACACTTTTTTTTTGGACATTATTTTTTTTTTTTTTGGAAATTATAGGATATTATTTTTTTTTTCATCAGACATTATTTTTTCAATCAGACATTATAGGATCCCTTAATTTTGAAAATAATTTGTGAATCTTTTGATGAAAATTGTTAAATTCTAAAGTTTAAAAAATTTTGTATAAAAGATATTTGTTCAAAATTATGCATTCTTTACTTTCACTTTCTTTCTTTAGTCTAACATTAATCCTTCATCAATTTCATGATTGTTCATAAATCGTTATTTCTATTGACTAACAGACTCACTTTTCATTGCCCTTGTGCGCCGGGCGCACTTGTCCAAGCAAGTTAATTACATTTGCTAATTTTACTTTGTGTTTTCTCAACCTGAAGTGAAACCAAGTAGTAGAGCTCTAAATTACGTGGATTATACGAAATGATAGATATTTAAATAGAAGAGGCAAACGTAAAGTGTCTGTGCTTAAATATTAATTAGTTTGGAGTGATTAATATCACAAAAAATTATTTGCACTTCTGTTTGGTTAAAATTCGGTGAACAGCTGAGGGATGAATAGGTGAAGATAGATTAGATAGATAGATAGATAGATAGATAGATAGATAGATAGATAGATAGATAGATAGATAGATAGATAGATAGATAGATAGATAGATAGATAGATAGATAGATAGATAGATAGATAGATAGATAGATAGATAGATAGATAGATAGATAGATAGATAGATAGATAGATAGATAGATAGATAGATAGATAGATAGATAGATAGATAGATAGATAGATAGATAGATAGATAGATAGATAGATAGATAGATAGATAGATAGATAGATAGATAGATAGATAGATAGATAGATAGATAGATAGATAGATAGATAGATAGATAGATAGATAGATAGATAGATAGATAGATAGATAGATAGATAGATAGATAGATAGATAGATAGATAGATAGATAGATAGATAGATAGATAGATAGATAGATAGATAGATAGATAGATAGATAGATAGATAGATAGATAGATAGATAGATAGATAGATAGATAGATAGATAGATAGATAGATAGATAGATAGATAGATAGATAGATAGATAGATAGATAGATAGATAGATAGATAGATAGATAGATAGATAGATAGATAGATAGATAGATAGATAGATAGATAGATAGATAGATAGATAGATAGATAGATAGATAGATAGATAGATAGATAGATAGATAGATAGATAGATAGATAGATAGATAGATAGATAGATAGATAGATAGATAGATAGATAGATAGATAGATAGATAGATAGATAGATAGATAGATAGATAGATAGATAGATAGATAGATAGATAGATAGATAGATAGATAGATAGATAGATAGATAGATAGATAGATAGATAGATAGATAGATAGATAGATAGATAGATAGATAGATAGATAGATAGATAGATAGATAGATAGATAGATAGATAGATAGATAGATAGATAGATAGATAGATAGATAGATAGATAGATAGATAGATAGATAGATAGATAGATAGATAGATAGATAGATAGATAGATAGATAGATAGATAGATAGATAGATAGATAGATAGATAGATAGATAGATAGATAGATAGATAGATAGATAGATAGATAGATAGATAGATAGATAGATAGATAGATAGATAGATAGATAGATAGATAGATAGATAGATAGATAGATAGATAGATAGATAGATAGATAGATAGATAGATAGATAGATAGATAGATAG